TTTGGCGTCGAGAAATCTAACCTGTGAGGATTGAATCACTTTCAGCGATGTCTAAACTACAAAAGACATGTGACTTCATCGTCGAAACTCGTCAGCGTTAGAGGCAGAGCCCTCTAGTAGCGAGCGATAGGAATTAAGTTTAACATCTAATATAAGAGTCAAATAATTGTTTGAAGATATACGAGTACATGTGTCACATAAATCTAATAAAATTTAATTTAAAGTTAAGAAAAACCATTATATGTTTCGGTTTTTTATTAAGCCATCTTCAGATGATCCATAGTGAACTTCTTAAGCTATCCATTTCTATTCGGTAATTTACAATTGTCCATGATAAATCTTGAATGTTCGATGGGTGTCAGGAAACAAAATTTCTTTTTCAACGATTTACAGATCAAAAGTTTGAAATTTCTATATATTACATGTATTACAAAATAGGTATTAATTTGATATGTATGAGAAGAAACGTATAGTTAATTAATCTCTTAAAACACTCACCGTACATTCGAACATCTCATTGTATTAGTCAAAATTTGTCAAAATGTAAAACTCTTAGATAACATTGTGGTCAAATATATAAAAGTCGTAGAAAAAGTATGAAACAATAAACCAGACTATACTAGTGAAGTAATAATATTCACAGTCCAATAGATAAAAATAAGTTCTTAACTAGAGCGATATCGATAAGACGTTAGAGAATTTTACTACTAGATATGAATTTGATTGACCGATTTATTATTCGACGGCCGTTAGGCCCATTCCACACAAACTTGCAGAGCCGCATAACCATATGCATAAAAAAAATTATCCAATCACATTTCTGTCATAATGACAAACATAAACTACGATAGGATGATTTTCTTTATGCATATGTTTATGCGACTATGCAAATTTGTGTGGAATGGCCCTTATACCTGTCTTATATCATATTTACAATGACGTGTTTTGCGTTGATAAAGGCTAGAAAGCAGAAATATACGAGTTACACTGTTAGAAATGTTCTTAAATTTCATTAACTTTTAATGTACATTGGTGAATGAAGTTTAATTTCTCTGTAACTGAAAGGACTATTATATACATATAAATGCACATGTTAATGAGATTTAAGTTTATAGTAACTGAAAAATTAAGTGTAATGAAATTTAATATTTCATTTACGGATATAAATGACATTTAATTAATCGTAATTGAAATAACTATTAATGTACATGTTAATGAAATTTAAGTTTGTAGTATGTTAATGTACTTTTACATTTACGAATATTAATATTATTTTAATTAAGCCTAATACTATTAACGCTTAACGTTTAATACGTTTACGTTTCTTACATGTCATTAACGTAAATTACTTTTCAGTTACAGATCTCATACTTTTCATTAACGTGTAAATTAATTTCTATAATAATGTGTTCATTAATTTCAATACACACGTTCATCACATATAAGACTGTAATTTAGTTTTTATTTACATCATTCATTACATTTAATTTCGTGCATAACCACATGCTTCCTTTACATGTTAATTAAAATTCATTGAGAAATTTCTAACAGTGTACTTTAAATTAATGTTAAATATGCCTTAAAATATGCCTTAAAATTAAATATTTAGGTATGTTAAAATTAAGAAGAACAATATTTACAGCGCTGATTCCTATTAGCCCTATTTCCTTTATTAGTTGTTTTTTTTACTTCATAGATTGCAAATTTTACTTTGTCGAAAAATGTTTTTTATGCAAATATAATTTGCACAAATTTTCATTGTATATTTTTTCGCTTCTGACGTCATAATCTGAAGTAGTAGTGATGAGCGAACAAGAGCCATAAAAATGTACGTTTAAATATATCAAAAAATTATATTAAAAAATATGTTTTAGGAGAATTTGTTTTACCGAAAGATGCGGATGTTATTATATCATTTATACGAATGCACCGAAATGAAAAATATTGGCCGAATCCATTGATGTTTAATCCGGATAGATTTCTTCAAAAAAAAACAAATTGTATACCATATTACATGCCTTTTAGTGATGGATCAAGAAATTGCATAGGTAAGTATGAATAAATTATAAATTATCGTGATAAAATTGATTTACAAATATTTATAATTGACAAATTTGCAGGTTTGAAATACGCAATGATGTCTATGAAGGTTATTTTAGCAACGCTGATAAGAACGTTCGTATTTAAATTAAATCAAAGCATTGAGATAGACAAAATCAAATTAAATTCGGATATATCATTATCTATAGATGAACCTATAAAGATTAGAATTGAAAAACGGAATCTCTAAATAATACATAAATGAATAATACTATAATAATATGGAAACATTAATCGATATTCCTTTAAATTTTATAATATATGTATATACAGGGTGTTTGAAAATTATCGGCTAATCGATCACGAGCAGGTAGAACGGATCGAA